ACACAGCACAAGGAGATACAAATGGAGCACGAGTTAATTAACTGAATACGAGAAGCTGCTTGATAAGAGTGGATAATAAGGAGATTACACAGGCATTAACGTGTTTGGAGTTAACCATTCAAATGTTTGGTGTTGTGGAGTTTATTTACAAACACCCATATTCGAGGTTATGAGAACAGGTTGACATTTTCAAATATTCTCTTTCGACTATACCAGCGCTTGGGCCCGAGGCTGTTGTTGTGCCTTCCGTATACCATACGGATCCCCTATGATAGCTGATGGAGTCGCTCCACCATCTCGCCCCACATTATAACATATGTTCTGAAAGGTACCGAAATGCTTAGAGTTTTGATTCGATCAGCTTTCAATCTCATGGGATCGACTGTCTTCAGCTTTCTGAAGATCGCACTGTGATCCAATTCTGTCGCTTTCCTGAGGACCCGGTCACCCATATGGTGAGCGCTTCTTAGGGCCTCACCTTCAATGGATAAGTGCAAAGGTTCCAGCCCCAGGAGTGTCTCCATAGCGGCCGTCAGCGTTGTTGACAATGCTCCAGTTATTCGCAGACATGCCAACCTCTTAACTTTGTTCAAACACTGCGATATGTACTGATTTTGGTTCTATGCCACCATATTACGCCGGCATATGTGATTATGGGTTTCACAATGGTGACGTACGTCCAGTACGCCATCTTCGGTGAAATTCCCATGTTTTCCCGATAATACGTAGGCAGGTCCATAAAGCCCTGATCGTCTTGTTTGTTTTCTGTTCCACATGTTCTTTAAATAGCAGTTTATTATCCAGGGTTATCCCAAGATATTTAACAGTGGCGGACATATATAGTATATTCCGATATATCGACATTAGTCTAAGGGCTCTAAGATCTCTTTTCCTTGTGAAAGCGACAACAGATGTTTTGGATATGCTAATTTTCAGCGCTTCCGTGTTACACCATTGTTTGGTGATGTTTAGCGCCTGTTGCATCAGTGATAACACAGTGTCTCTAAAGTTTGCCTGTACAACAATGGAGATATCGTCCGCATATCCTAGCGCGAAGAAACCCCTCCTTTCAAGAGACAACAGAAACCGGTCCAATATCGGGCTCCGCCTCAGAAGCTTGAAGCGAAACGTTGAAAAGCTAACCAACCATATGTTGAGGCTCCGATATGTTTCTCAGCAAATATTTGTATTGGTTCCTGGTTGCTGGTGTAATTATTTCGCTTCAATTCTTCATTTCTCACTTTATCTATTATACATCGATAACGAGTAGGTACTCTCTTCTCTGAGGTACCAGATTTCTGCTCAACACGTTTGAACTCTCCAAATTTATGGTCTTCAATCAGAACTTGATTTCTCCTGTTACATAGAGGCTTTTGTGAAATAATAACCTTGAGGTTCACTTTCGAGCAAACACTTGGGTGAAGGATGTATGGGATTCCTCAAGTAAATTGACCGCAATAATTTGTTTATAAAAATATTTATTTATCCATATCACAGGCGTACAAGCGAAAAACATGAAAAGGCATGAAACAGTATGAAAATGTTTACAATATCATTGCAACATGCATTGCATTGTACAGTAATTCTGGCTGCATCTATAGTAACTTCTGCAAAAAACTCTTTGATCCACAAAGCTATTTTACCACGTTACAGCTACAATAACTTCCTGGTTGACTACTGAAAGTAACCATCATATCGTGGTTGTTTTTAGGTACTTGATGGTGTAGATACTAGATGCAAAATTTCAAGAGGTTTTAATGGTATCCATAACTCCCGGAACCGAATGACTCGTGTCCTCCAAAGCCGCCTCCAAAACCACCATCACTTCCATGACCACCTGAAATACCAATCATTCTAGCTTAGAATGTTCTGTTCCTTGCTGCTCATTCTTACCAACTAACACTGGCACCGGTTTCTTTACAATGTTAATTTCGTGTACATGGACTGGTACTGGCTTATGCACGAGAACTGGAACTGGTTTGGGCACATGGACTGCGACTTTATAGGGAACCTCAACTTTATAAGGCACTTTCACTGGTACGGGGATATTTTTGTATACCTTAAAACGACGAAAGGTTCTGGATATTGGTTAAAACCATTACGCAAACAGTACCTTAACTGGGTAGGGCTTATCAACGTGCACGGGATAGGGTTTGGCTACTGGAACAGCGTAGGGTTTGTCGACTTTCACGGCTACGGGTACGTTGACTGGTATCGGGACGTCTTTGTACACTTTGACTGGAACCGGGACTGGGTGGGGTACCCCGATTTCCTTGTGAAGAGTGATGTGAGTAATTCTCCCCTCATCGCCCCCATTTCCGCCTCCAAAGCCTCCTCCAAAACCACCGCCGAATCCACCTCCTGAGCCACTTCCAAATTCATGACCTAAACGTAGTCAGGGGCCACTAAAGAAAATTGCCTCCATCTAGAAGTTACCTCCAGACAGTCCTCCAGACCCGCCAGAGAATCCACCGTGACCTCCAGAAGAAGCGTAGCCTCCTAGGCCGGAACCACCCAAAGAGCCGTGGTTACCTCCAAATCCTTCATCTGGAGAAAGTTAAATTGATTTTGAGGGATACCGAGCGAAGTGTCGCAACATTAATTGGACCGTTTGAGCATACAAGGTTATTCATTAACAGAAGGAAGATAGATAGGCGACTTCTATACAATTTTGTGGAAAATCTTCCGATTTTTGTTAGCAAGTAATGGAAAATTTAAAGAGGGTTTTCTAGAAACTTGTATCGCATCAAACTTGTAGGTGTTTTAATGAAACACCGTGTTTCTATTGGGGATTTGAATTCTACGTTAAATGATGAGCAGATTTCCTTGAATATGCCTTTTACATAACTTCAACGGTTTTCGAGCTAGAAACAATTAATTATCGACTTCCCTGTTCTAAATGTTATTATAGATTTCAATTTGTTTCTTATTTGGAACCAAAATGATGATGGAATAGGTTTCTTCCATTCAATGTTCCAAGTTCTGCGATGGAAAATGGGGGATTTGTTGAACACCTACTGTTCTTTTTCAATAAGCTTAAGAAATAAAATTTGTCAATTTTTCACTTTTAGAATAATGCTACTTTTGTGAAAAATTATGAACTGTAAGTTTAGTTTTGAGTTGAACATGTTTTGCTATAACACTTGAAATTAATTAACTTATTTTCAGTAAAAAGTTGATGTCTAATTGCTCCTAGTTCGAAAACAGACAACATCTTAGACATAGCGTATATTCAAGGAAATATATTTAGAATTTGAGATATAGTCTGAAACTCAAGTTAAAAAAATTAGAAAGTTGATATGGTACGCCTTCCTCCATGATTCTGTATTACATTTTTATAATTGACAAATAAAAAAAAAGTGGAAAAAACAAACTTCGTATGGCGGAAAACCCAAATAATGTTTACAAAATAAAATGTAGGCAAACAGATAAAGTTGCTAAATTACTGACTTAAAGCAACAGTGACGAATGATCTGTGAGAAAACAAATAAAGAAATAACGTATTAGCCAGTGAAGCGAAAAGAAAACGAAAAACTGTTGGAAAATTTCTAAAAAAAATGCATTTTATATTTAATTTCAGTTCACTGAGTTTCTGCCACGTTTCTGAAGTTGTTGTTGTTGTCACTTCCATAACCGAGTTCACTTACTAAAACATTAAAAAGGCCATTTCTGTAGCAGCCATTTGTCCCTAAACACGTACATTTTCGTTGAAAGGTTTTTGGTGCAGTTTCAACTGAGCGAGCAGAGCCTGACATTAAAATATCAGTTGATAGACCGATTGGAAGTTTAGATTAGCTGAGAGCGGACAGCGAGGAACACAGAAAAGGAAATCAAGAATATTAGCAGAAACGCCTGGCCTACATAAACTGGAGGATAATTTTTTGACCGCACAAACCAGAAAGTTGAAAACTAAATAGTTTTGGAAAAAAGTTCTGACGACATTGATGTATCCCTCCACAATTTCAATAGAGTTAAAAAAAGAGTATTTGGAAGCTTTAGTCGAAGAACAATGTATGGAAATGGAGTCGGAAGCTGATAGGTATAGATTATACGACAATAGCGTAAACAACATTTGCACTGGAAGAACTGAACAAATCCCTGCGTTATTTGCTTATATTCAAGTGTACTGTTTCTGTTCAAACAACATTTTCTTCAAATGAAACTGGAATGTTCGTCTAAAACGAACGTTTGATGTGGTGTTTACAAAGACAGCTATATAAGACCTCATTTCTTCCATCAATGCATGTATGCTGAACGATTTTTACAATGTCTGCAAAATGACATCAAGAACGCTAAATATATTTAGTTCAAGGCGGCACAAAACAGCCAAGTCCAATTTCTTGAAAATATGTATAATGGAAAAGTTATGCAGATATATGAAGATAGTATTTGGCCTGCTAGATTGCCTATATAGATTAGTTATTTTGGTGGATCCTTAACCGGAAGTTTACCAGCAATTTTCGTTCCATAATTCTAATTATTTGGAGGAAATAATAAGACCAGCATGCCGGGAAGATTCGCGAGAAATAATAAGAAAGAATTTACGGAAATTTGCTAACAGAACGATTAAATAATCTCTCGTTCAATGTTTTAAGGTGAATATTTTAAGGCATATATTTTAGCTTTAAAATAATTTAAGTAGAACAATTTATTATTTTGATATATTTTCAACATTAAAAACTTCATATTTTGAATAATCAGAATAACTAAATGTTCGCTGGTTCTATTTGAGTTATATTTTTGTTTCTTAATGTCCAATCAATCGATTTTTATATTGCTAATAGTCCGGACAACTTTTTTTTATAACAAGTTTCGATGTTGTCAAAAACAAATGTGCTTTACTATTGGGAAAAATTTATCCGGTTTCACAGTCTTTGCATACACCTGAAAAAATTAAAATCCGGTGGTTGCATTTGAAATTTTATGAAATTTTTCATGCTGAACTTTTTCTTAAAATCAATAATAACAAATTTTTCAAATATTTTAAGCTATCGGGGACCTACAGTAGACGGTTTTGAGCTTACATGAATAAATTATTTCCCATCCCAAATATGCAAAAAAAGGAATTCATTCCACGCAACTGTTCAAGCGTTTTTCTACATTTCTTTTCAAAATATTAGCTATGAAAAATCGTCAGAACTATACACAGCTGAGATAGCAGCGACCTAATTTAACTCACCTCCTCCTAAAGAAAATCCTCCAGCGTGTCCCCCAAAGTCACCAATATCGATCAAACCTCTCTTGGGCTTATTGGAGGTTTCCTTCTTGCTTCCAGCTAGAACCGAGGAAGCTAGTAGCACAGTGCAAACCTGTAACCGTCGATAACTATTATGCAGAACTCTGAGGCTGCAGAAGAAGAACTGCAACGCTTACCAGAACTTTCATCTTGTCTTGCACGAAGATGAATGAGAACAAGAACTGTAATGCACCAAGTGGGCGCAAGGCGGTTTTTATATGAAGCCAAACCTCCCCTAATTTAGTGATAGTGGTACCGGGCTTGTGAATCTCATTGGCACCGTACTTTCTCCCTCTGGCGCTTCTGTTACCGCATAATGGGCAAAACAATTTTTACTGTGTGTGATTCGGTTTTTGGGCGATTGCTCGAGAAGAGTTCACGATTTGCAATCATGGGTTCATTGGAGCTGATGCGGACTATTCGTGGAATGGACCCTCAGTGTTAACTAATGGTAAAGCACGATTATGTGATGGTGCCTTCTTGGCACCTTACGTTATTGCTCGATTGGCTGCTTTGCATCCGCTATAAGATTAGTTCGCATGGTCTAATTTGAATCTTCAGAACGGGGAAAAAAACCATTGCATTTCTCACAAACAATCAAATTTAAGAAACATTCTAAATAGCAAACATGCGACCTTGAATTATCTTAGATAGACTTTTCACATTCAATCGGCAGCCTAAAAACCCAATTTCTCAATTTCGCTTGCTTTTAATCAAGCTAATATTATTCGTTGCAAAATCGCGGTATCTCACTTACTTGTTAGTATTTTAAGGCACTTATATAATATGGGAAAGGTTTACGATGTGCTCAGTTGGAAGTTATTGGGCTGTGGAGAAGAATTAGATGGTACTCGAAATGGGTCGTTTCCGCAATGGGCCATGATACTTCATAATAAGCCAAAATTGGATTTTGGCTTATTATGCAGTTTTCAAATTTAATTTTCTATAAAAGCTTTTGTTTTGAGCTGCTTTCGTTGTGAGACACTTGCGCAGGGGCCCCTAATCCAGGTCCCTGTAGATTTGCTAGACCCTCACAGGTCAGGGCCATCTGGAGAAGGTCTGATCCATGACTCGAATTTTATTGTAGTGTGTGGAAGAGTAATCTAAGTACGCTTCCTTGTAGCACCAAATTGAACCCGGGCGTATTAAACAGCTTTGCTGTGTTTGCTGGTATTAGGCCGTTTAATTTTTTTTTTTTATTGAATTTAGCTTTCCTTATTTGCCAATTTTGTCTAGTTTTAAATTATTATGTGGTAAATATACCGTGCCAATTAACTTTTATGGCGAAAACTGAAAAACTGGTTTTGTAACAATTAGCGCCTTCTAGCCATTATCGGTTGTCCGACAACGAGAAGTATTTCCATTTCTCGTCCAATGGAGATAGTACTTTTAAACACGATTTAAATGTTTACTTTTTCAATGGCTTTACTCTCTCGCGATGAAGATCTATACCCCCATGGGCCTTAAACCAGATGAATGCAGAATTGTGCAGATTTCTGACGATGCTTCGGCAGCTAGTCCTTCATTTGGAAATTTTCCCAGATATTTATGTTTATTTAGTACTTTTAAACGCGGCATTGGAATCTAATTTTCAGGTTTTTTATTCCGGAAATTACTGTTGAAATTTTTATCTCAAAATTCCAAGCCCAGTATTTTCCAAGAGTTATCTATTGCTATTGCTTGGTGTTAATCTCTGCTTGTGCAGAAGTTTACCACCTCAGATAAAGATCCTCTTTGCGCCTTGTGGTGGAAAAAGAAACAATACAAACTTGTACTCTGTAAATTTAACTTTTTTTCGAGCGACGAAAAGCTAGCAATGTGTTTTCGTCACAGTTCCCCCGATCGATTAAAACCTAACCTCGTTTTCAAAGTGCATTATTAGAAATTATGTTGTGAATTTTTTTTCCATCATCCTCAGGGAATTATAGAGACATTTTCTGACATTGGCGGTTTTGAGCAAACATTCATCGCCAGAGCGAAAACCGCCAATTTAGTTTTTCGCCTTTCGCCTGATTCAATAAAGAAGGGAACTGTATGACTCTTTTTCCATATGAAGGAGGCCTTTCCTGATATAACCGAGAACGTTTTCTTACCAATTCCATCTTCAGAAATTATTTTGCGAATTTTGAAGCTCACAAAGTTTGTTTAACAAAAAGTTTTGGTGGCCATTTTCTGAATCTTTGTATGGGTAACTTCTACATTTTTAAAGATAGAATCCGTTAAATCGGCAAAATTGGGCAGAATTCGATAGCCTATTCATTGCCGTTTTCAAAATTTAGGTACCCGACTTGGTTCCTGAAATATCCTGAAAAAGCAAGAAAT